GGGCGGAGGTGGCTGTGGAGTTAAGGGCTGGGGGTAGGGGGATGAGGGTCTCTCCCGGTCGAGGTAGCCTCTCTCAGTGGGAGGGACACCTGTTTCGAGGCAGTATGCGCCCGAATTCACATTAACAAACGACGAGTTCTCCCAAGGTGGAAGAGTAAAGGAAGATATCTAGCCACGATAATGTGAAAACTTTTTTCATCATTATTTTGACAGTTAATAGAGGTCTAGGGGTGAGCGTCTCTAATACATCCTCCTCTAAAGGCGGGTTTAAGGGCTTTTTTTCCTTTGTTTCTTTTTTTTTTTTTTTTTTTTTGCCCCTACCTGTCCCGAGGATAGGAACTGTTGCTTCGTGGGCGCGCCGGAAAATTTCTCAGCAATCCAACTTCTCAGGCACTCTGCGGGCGAGACCTGACTCAGATTGTGAGTCCCACGGAGGAGAATTAGGACTGAGGGTGCTGGCCCACGCCCAGGCAACCTCTCCTCCCGATAGATCTCATCCACGATGGAAAAAAAGCGCACTCCGTTGCAACTCTTGGGGGCGGGGAGGAGGGTTCTGCTGAGATCGGCGCATCTGACAGAACCCGAACCCGCGAGGTCCCGTTTCACATTACTGCATTTACTGGGCTCGGTCGATACTGGCTGACTTTGCTGGTAAAACAGGAGATGAATTTCAAACAGTCATCATCTTTTAGTAATTCGTTTTTAATAATAAACATATGAAAAGCCACCTTTTATTTATTTATTTACTTTCACTTTTTAATTGTGCTAGAAACCCAAATTGGAGATCACAGGTAACCACTGAGGATGGCAAGACTGCCTGTCATTGAAAATCATTTTCCCTTGGCATGTTTCCTGGGCGCGACTGGGAGCCACGGCTCGGCTAGGGCTGTAAGGTCTAAGCTCCGACTTCGACTTTGCGGTTCTCTAGGACAAGTCCGGCTGCTGTGGAGGGCACCTCGTGGAACAGGAAGGCAGGACCCCACCCTACCCTGGGGATACTTGACCGCACTCCCGGTCCCTCCCCCCGACGTGCCCTCTGGGGACCTGCACTCAGGGGCGGGAGGACGCCAGAGAGCCGGGTTCTTGCGGCAGACGCCGCGTCCCGCGCCTTCTCTCACTGGGACCTGCTCCCCGCGTGGTCTGAGGTTGAGGCCCCAGAATTACTGAAGAAAGCGCGTGTCCGCGGTACCGCCCCGGGCGAGTACAGAGATGCGGCGTTCCCGCTCTGCCCACTGCATTTTGGAGACTTTTAAGTTTGACCCCGCAGGTTGCACCCAGTAGATCTTGTCAGGAAAAGCCCTGGCGCAATTAGGACGGGCTCGCCTGGGTTAACTATTTCCGTAGCATCTTTCCCGGCCCTCCCCAGCTGCTCCCCGCGTCTTTCCGGCTGTGCCACATCCCCCAGGGCGGAGGTCGCAACAGGCTCTAGTCTCCGCTTGGTCAGGTCGGGTGCGTCAGGGCGCGAGCACGTGTGGCCGAGCGCGTCCCCAGCTTCTCCCTGCACCCACCGATCCCAGGTTAGTCTTGGGTGTCCTCGAGCGCTTAGTCGATCTGGGGCTTCCTCCCACACCACATTGGGGGGAACTCTTTTCTTGTTGCGGGGCGCAGTATAGGGTGGGTCCGATGCCGAAGTGCCGCCAGGGTCTGAGTCCGAGGCGCATCCGCACCTCGGCAGGGGCCGGAAGAGGGGGAACACACTCTTTACACACGCATGTTCCACGCGTGTGCTCACGACCAGAAGCTCAGAAGAGAGATCGCGTGCGTCCTGGCCCCACTTTCAGACCTCCTCGCAACTGGAGTAATGAACCCTTGGCGGGCGCTCCAGAGAGAGCGACTAGCGAAGTGGCAAGATCAGTGGTGCGCCTGGAGGGACCTCGG